ATCATCTCATTATAGAAATAAGTATTGCATTCAATAAATGTGTAAATTATCTGAAGACTAATTAAAAACAATTAAATTGAATGAAACGACAAAATAATAATGAAAACTAGTCTACAATGAGATGAGAAAAATAATAAGAAAATTATAATTTTGAGGTTAAAAGTGATTTGAAAATTAGGACAATTGAGATGACAAACAAAGGGGTTGTGGTGGCAGTGGAGGTAGTGGTAAGAGGGAGGGGAACGGCGGGAAACAGGGGATACTCTTCACACAACAAACTCTGCAATTTGTAACCGCAGACCAAATACCTCGTCGAAGAACTGCTGAGTCTTCTTCAGGATGTGTCTCAATTCAGACAACTCTAAGTATGTCTTCTTGAGTGCCTCCGCATTGGTGTTCACTTCCTTCAACTCGTTCTCCAACTTCTCAAACGTGGCCTAAGAATAGACACAAACAAAATACCATTCATTACGTGAGATAATGTGTGTCAAAAGGTCTGATCCAATCTGCAGACGTGCGGACACATACTTCCAGATCAATCATCTCTCGCGGTTGCGGCGCTTCGGGATTGTCGCCGATGTCGAGCATAGGAATGCCGTCCCGTTTGATCTCTTTCTCCAGATATCCTGACAAACAAATAGACATATTATTCAATGTGTGGATCAAATGCGTGCCGAAGAAGTAAGGACTAAATCATTACTGAGTTTTCTCTCCATTTCATCGCAACGCCGGACTTCGTTCACAAACTTGCGTTGAAATGCATTCACGTCTGGATTCAGCTGTCATTACAAGAGATACACAAATGAGTGGTAAGGACTAAATCATTACTGAGTTTTCTCTCCATTTCATCGCAACGCCGGACTTCGTTCACAAACTTGCGTTGAAATGCATTCACGTCTGGATTCAGCTGTCATTACAAGAGATAAACAAATGAGTGGTTAATACAAACGGATGGCCAGATATGGCCGCCGATGAAGACATACATCTCTGAACTGAGTTAAACCCAATTCTCCCAATTCTGAGACACAATTATAGGCCGCTTCCGACTGCAGGAACAGCTGACACAAAGACATCGACTCCGACCGCAATAGTGTACCCATTGTTGGCGCTGTTCTTGTCGTCGGTTGCCGTCAATGGCCTCACGGGATGTGCTGTCCGTCGGTGTCTTTGACTCACAGTCTTCGGGAGCGGACGTCAAACACAACAGACGTTTGAATGGCTTATGAAATGACGGATGAATTGAATGAAAGGTTTTATTGATTTTTTGTGTCTGTTTTGTGCCAACCGTTCACTAAATGTCACTCAATTCACGCAATCGTCACATCAATTACGCTATCATTTGCTGCATTTGTCGCCCCCTTTGCCTCCATTTGCTGTGCATTTCAATTAGTGTTGACATAAATAATGTCCGATAAAACTCCCCTTTAATTGATTTGAACGCTTCGAGTGTTAGTATTGAGCGCTTGTTATAAATGCATTGAACAGAATATTCTGTAGATTTGTTTCAAGAATTAGCTTTTAATTGATATAATGATTGATTTGAAAGTTTTATACAGTATTTAATTAGCCTTAAATGTAAGACAACTAATGATTTAAACGTTTATCATTAGCGTAACGAGAATATGATTAATACTTTTTATTTAGTTTTATTTATTAATTTAATTGAATTTTACTTTTAATAATAATGACTGAATGTATCATTAAATACAAAACTGAAAATATAAACAGAAAATTTCTATACTTATCAATAAACTATTACTAATAACCGAAATAATAATAATTGAACCCAAAATTAAATACAAAAAACAAAACTATGAGAAATGAAAAGTAATTTTAAAATAAGTAAAACAAACAATTACTTTTTTGCCATCGAAATACAAGTACAGCCTTATTAATGTTAATCATCTTTACTCAGATCATTGGGCCCTTCCGTGTCTTTGGGCTCTTCAGGATCTTTGGACTTTTCGGTGTCTTTGAGTATTTCGACCACTTTGTGCGGATCCGCGGCGCGAATACGAGCGCCCGGATACGTGTGAACCCGACGGCTTCCAATGGGTTCAGAATATGCAGTCGGCTGTGAAAATCCCCGAATCAGTGGCTGCCGTGAAAGTGGCGGTTCTCGGGTTATTTCCAAGAACTTCAACGCATTCATCAATTTGATGAGGTCTTTGTCCTTCTGGTCGTTATCCTTCTTCAACAGTTCAACGCAACTGTGTTTCAACGGATCGCCCGTCAAATGGCCGCACGTCTGGCACTTATTGAATGGACAGTGCTTTAGATGATAGGACAGGTCATACAATTCGACCACCGCTTCGCAACCATTGACCTCGAAATCGCATTTAACCTTAAGTTTGCCCACTATTTGGTCGATCTTAAGATTCTTGCGGAAGAGATGCCGCGTGTGGTTAACGGCTGTGAAGACTCGGCGACATTCTGGACACTTGATGGTAGACCTCATTGGGTTGTGGTGTTGTTCCGTCAGTTCAATGCAATCCCGACAGAAAGTGTGTCCGCAACCGATGATCACCGCGTCTTTGTATATGTTAAGACATATACCGCACGTGAGGTCCGCTTCCAACGTCTTGGACAGAGCAGCAAATCTGTTTGCATCAAAACCACACATTCTTTGCAACTGATTATCAGTTATTGATTTGATTCAAAGATTTGATTCAAGCAATGTTTAAGTAATGCGTTTTGCATACGAAATGAGATAATTGTTGAATATGGCAATCGTGTGATAGTGTACTGACCAATGATAGCGTGTGTTCATTAACAGACGACTGTAGCTCACCTTGGTTCATTTATAGCCCTAACTAATCTAGCACATTATTGGTTCAATACTTTACAACTTTACTCACTTGACTCCCAATTGAATTGAGTGCAATAGTAAATCTAGCCATATAATCATGATGACTCAAACATAATCATGGTCATTTAGTAATCAAGCAGTCAATGTTGTGCACAACTAATTGTCATTAATATTTGTTTAATTAAAATGATTAAAATAAAAATTAAACTAAAATATCAATTAATTGTAATTTTTTAAAAATATTCTACATTTCAATCAATAGACATGTTTTTAATAGAAGTCTATTTGAATAAAAACAATGATCTTGTTTTATGTATAATTTAATTAAATATAACCAATAATTACATTTAAAATCTTATATTAAAATCAATAATAACATTAAATTAACGTTAAAATTGAAGGGAAATATACAGTATTTAACAATAAGTGCATAAGAATACAGTAAAATAAAAACGATAATAAATATACAGTTAATTAAAAGAGTTTCATAATTCGTATAGGAATTTAAAACATTGAAATAATGGACAAAAAAAATAATAAAAATAGATTGAAAATACCAATCAATAACTTATTTACAGATTAATATTGACGATATTCTGGTCCGACTGATAGTAGGCTTTAACCGACCGCTTATTGGATGGTATATTCAATTTAGTGATTGTGTCCGTTCGGGCGATGGCTTGAGAGCCGTTGAATGTGATGCTAAGGGGTTGGGGATCGGTGTCGAAGGTCTTGGCCACCGATTTGACCAAATCGTCAAACGTTTGTTTGTTTGTCATGCGATAGGAGTCCCGCTTTTTGCCCAATTCGTTGTATATATTGATAGTTTTGGTGACAGTGCGGACACGTTTCGGCGTTTTGATCCCATAATTACGGGTTTTGTGCGCCACTGAAACATATGATAAAAAATAATCATTAATATCATTACATATTAAATTAATAGCAATGAATAAGAGTCTCGTTATAATGCGTGCACTGATTAGTGAGTGTATTAAAAGTGGTGTAAAATAACAAAACAAGAAAACGTGTGAATATTTTATGATTCAATAAACTTATTGTGAATTACAGAAAGGATTAAACAATAAACGAGATTAAGTTATATTAAATTCATAATTAACTAATGGATTAAATGAAAAACAATCATATTTTTGGTACACTATTGGCAAAAAATTAACAGTAATTTATAGTTTCCTATTAACGAGTCTTAAACTTGATTTATAACCTGCGCCGACGGTAACGGATGTGGTCTTGGGCTGAGCGGCGGCCGCGGCTGTGGTAACGGCTGGTGCGCTGCCCTTCAAAAGCTTGATCTCTTCCTCGAGCTCTTTGTTCTTCGTCTCCAGACATTTGAGTCGTTTATTAGTTTGATTTAATTTGAATTTATAACCAATGATACTATTCATGAAGCGTTTCCTTTCATTCTTCATCAGTTCCAGACAGTTATGGTCGAGACGTTTGCCGACTTTGAGGCCACAATTCTCGCACAGATTGTAATTACATTTCTCGAGATGCGCTGAGAGTGAGCCCAACTCCAGCACTTCGTCGCAGCCCTTGTCCTCGAAGTCGCACGACGTCCGCAATCGGCCGATAATACTGTCCACTCGACGGTTGGCCTTAAAGAGGGATTCGTTGATATTAACGCTGCACTCATTGGCGGTGAGACTTCGCTGCCGTTTGCGGACCGACTCGTGGCGACACTGCGGACACACCAACCGATTGTTGCTAATCGTCTGCTGCAAGCAATCCCTGCAGAAGGTGTGGCCGCAGTTGGTGTCCACCGCCCGGTCGTACACGTGAAGACATATCGAGCACTCGAGCTCTTTGGCCAACCAGTCCTCGAGACCGATGAACCGCTTCGAGTCAAAGCCTGGCATTAGGTTTGCGTTCGCGTAGTGTCTGCGGAGGTCGTCAATGGTTCCCGAGGTTTAGTGTCTTGAGTTGTTGTGTCGGGAAGTAGTCTGCGATTAAGCGATGGTTTGATTGCTATTGAAATGACAATCAATTGAAAGCATGATATCCTTTGGTATTGTGTTTACAAATTGTTTTGTGTTTTCTTTCATTGAATTCATTGAAATGTCCATAAATTACAACCACTTTTGCTAAACTTTTTTGTTTCAATAGTTTTTGCAACAAAAACATGTTTTCTCTCTTTTATATGATGTATAAAAATGCATAAAATATTTAATTTAAATTCTGGCAATAATTTTGGCATTAAATACATCTATTGATTAGCAAAATGTTTCAAAACAAAGACTCTGTCGACTAAACGGATCCTTATTTGACGGGTTTAGTTGTATCGGTCACTGGTTTTGGTAGTGTCTGGACATTAGGTTTTTCTTTTGATTGTACTTTGAGTTCGGGATCAGATTTTGGTGACTTTTGGTTCTTTATATCATTTGCTATATTCTTATCATTTATATCAGTCGATGGCTTTGCGGTTGACTTCGACTGATTGTTGCGGTGTTTGACAAAAGTGACGACAACTGCGATCATAATAACGATCACCAGTGATAGCAATAGTAAGACAAGCATTACATTCATCGCACGCCTACCGGCCGTAGACTGAGATGACGATGGTTTCGGACATTTGAAGAACTCATTGAATTCAAAGCCATCCTTGAAATGAAAATTAATTAAAATTCTAATAATATATCGCATAATAACGACCGGAATATAACTTAAACATTACATACAAGTGGTTGTCTATCGATATCGTTATAATAGCTTATCTGATAAACAACTGGATATGAAATGTCTTTTGGAAATACTAATAAATATAACATATTATTCAATGAAAACATTCCCAATATTTTAGTGAATCTATTCCTCCCATAATCGGTACGAATTCCTGAAAATATTCTCAAAAACGGAGTACTATTTCCCGGAAACTCGAGGGCAGCGAAACATTTAGATCTATAATAAAGATAAGGATAGTCTTTATGGTTAAAGACAATGACCAAAGGATTCAAAAACCAGTTTTTGTATTGATCGACACTTTGGTTTGTCTGAAAGTATGCGATCGCGAGTATAGTATCGGATGTTATGTTGTTTTGCAGATACTGTTTGTCGAAAGCGTCGATTGTGTGGACACTAAATGGTGAGTCATTTGATCCCTTATTGTTGGGAATCATGCGATTGAGTGGACCTGTCTTTGAGTCGAAGACTCCATAAATGCTTTGGGAATTGAATTGTTTAGATGTCTTCCAATTGCTTCGACCAATGATTATAGTTCTGTAGGTATTGTTGTTTAGGAGATATGAATAACCAATTATTCGATGATTGATATCTTAAAAACAAATAACAATTAAAATCTCTCTCTCAACCACTCATTTGTTTATCTCTTGTAATGACAGCTGAATCCAGACGTGAATGCATTTCAACGCAAGTTTGTGAACGAAGTCCGGCGTTGCGATGAAATGGAGAGAAAACTCAGTAATGATTTAGTCCTCACTTCTTAGGCACGCATTTGATCCATACATTCAATAATATGTGTATTTGTTTGTCAGGATATCTGGAGAAAGAGATCAAACGGGACGGCATTCCTATGCTCGACATCGGCGACAATCCCGAAGCGCCGCAACCGCGAGAGATGATTGATCTGGAAGTATGTGTCCACAAGTCTGGAGATAGGATCACACCTTTTGACACACATTATCTCACGTAATGAATGGTATTTTGTTTGTGTCTATTCTTAGGCCACGTTTGAGAAGTTGGAGAACGAGTTGAAGGAAGTGAACACCAATGCAGAGGCACTCAAGAAGACATACTTAGAGTTGTCTGAATTGAGACACATTTTGAAGAAGACTCAGCAGTTCTTCGACGAGGTATTTGGTCTGCGGTTACAAATTGCAGAGTTTGTTGTGTGAAGAGTATCCCCTGTTTCCCGCCGTTCCCCTCCCCTCTTACCACTACCTCCACTGCCACCACAACCCCTATGTTTGTCATCTCAATTGTCCTAATTTTCAAATCACTTTTAACCTAAAAATTATAATTTTCTTATTATTTCTCTCATCTCATTGTAGACTAGTTTTCATTATTATTTTGTCGTTTCATTCAATTTAATTGTTTTTAATTAGTCTTCAGATAATTTACACATTTATTGAATGCAATACTTATTTCTATAATGAGATGATTTATGTAATGAGAAAATGCTTTTCACTTATTTTAATATACTTTTCAATGACTATCTCCTTATTTATTATTCACTACTTTTTACTTCACTAACCATTAGATGAATAGAAGATATAATTTTAACCAAATTTTTCTATTATTTTTTCCCATCCATTTGTTTTCGCGTCTAAATTACTGAAATCCGTGTCTATAATTTTTGTTGTCCACCAAAAACACAAATACCATTAAAACCTATGTATCGCTTAATGGTGTCACCAAATGAAATGAAAATCTCTCCACTCTTTGTTTGGCACTTATGTTTCGGTTTGGTTTTTGGGTTTTATTTTACTGTTTTATATGTTTTTGTTACCGTTATCTCTGACTTTGTGTGCGTGTGTTGCCTGTGGTGTTGTGTATGTCTTGTGGTGAATGAAATGTCAATCATAAGGTCGATCACACAATACAGATGCAAGACGGAGGTATGCAAGACGAGAGCATACAGCTCTTGGGCGAAGAGGGTCTCCGCGCCGGCGGTCAACAGGCCATGAAATTAGGGTAATATTTGAATTAAACTAGACTTTTTTATATTGATTTTGTAACGTAAAAAGAGAAGCAAACTTAGCGATCTAAACACCGGCCTCAATATGAAGCCCTTGCCAACGGTAGCAAACTCGCGTACAATACCGCGCAGACGTCTCCGTTACAGAATCTAAGACAGGCTGAGATCGAGGCGCCTCTGGAGGACCCGCACACCGGCGACAATGTCTATAAGTCTGTGTTCATTATCTTCTTTCAAGGAGAACAACTCAAATCTAGGGTTAAGAAGATATGCGAAGGGTATGTATCTATTGATCACTCTGTGGATCAGACTATAAGACAAAATTGGTTATAATGTTATTGTGGTTGTGTTGATAGCTTTCGGGCCACTCTATACCCGTGTCCGGAGACCCCATCGGACAGACGAGAGATGATTGGCGGCGTTGTGTCTCGTATTGAGGACTTGAATACAGTACTATCGCAGACAACAGAACACAGACACCGAGTGCTGGTTGCGGCGGCCAAAAACATTAAGAACTGGTTCGTCAAAGTGCGCAAAATTAAGGCCGTTTACCACACGTTGAATATGTTTAATCTGGACGTCACGCAAAAGTGTCTGATCGCCGAGTGCTGGTCAGCGGTGGACGACTTGGAGCGCATCCAAATGGCTTTACGTCGCGGCACAGAACGCAGCGGTTCGTCCGTTCCGTCTATACTGAACCGAATGGAAACACACGAAGTGCCGCCAACTTATAACCGCACCACTAAGGGTACGGCCTCTCTCTCTCTCTCTCTCTCGACCCGCAAAATAATGGCAATTATCACACCATTGTATTATTTGGTTATAATTTTGTCCTCCAGTGACCCGTGGCTTTCAGGCAATAGTGGACGCGTACGGAGTGGCCACCTATCGGGAAGTGAATCCGGCGCCGTTCACACTAATTACGTTCCCGTTTCTGTTTGCGGTGATGTTTGGCGACGCCGGACACGGAGTGCTAATGACTTTGTTCGGCCTTTGGATGGTTCTGAAGGAACGCAATCTCATTCAACAGAAGTCGACGAACGAAATATGGCTGACATTCTTCAACGGCCGGTATATTATTCTACTGATGGGTTCGTTCAGCATATATACGGGTCTCATGTATAACGACATATTCTCCAAGTCGTTGAACATATTTGGCAGTTCCTGGAAAGCCATCAAACCTTCGGGTAATCTCTATAATCACAGCCATTATATACTCGACCCGCAGACTCAATACGATGGCGGCCCCTATTTCTTCGGCATTGATCCGGTATTGCATTTGATTTTGCTTTTGCTATATTTGTTGAACAAATGTGTGATAATGTCTTAAACGTATTGTTTATCTGATTCTTTGTGGGCATAACAGGTATGGCAGGTGTCGGAGAATAAGATCCTATTCCTCAACTCATACAAAATGAAACTGTCGGTCATTCTAGGCGTCGGCCAAATGCTATTCGGCGTTATATTGAGTTTCTGGAACCATAAGTAAGTGATAATTAAGGGCCAGAAACGGCGCTATTTATACCGCAAACACAATCTAACGGCTAAATCCGTGTCCATTATCTCGCAGATACTTCCAGAACCGGTTGAACATAATGTGCGAATTCATACCGCAGATGATCTTCTTGTTGTCGATCTTCGGTTACATGAATCTAATGATTGTCGCGAAATGGTTTAAATACGACTCGCGGAACAGCGGCTGCGCGCCGTCCATACTAATCAATTTGATTAATATGTTTCTGTATAAGTATGTGGACGACGACGACGACGTGCCGGCCTGTTATCTGAAGGACTGGTACGCGGGCCAGAAGTTCTTCCAGACGATACTGCTGTTGGCGGCGTTGGGATGCATACCGTGGATGCTGTTCGTCAAGCCGTACATTCTCAAGAAGCAGCACGAGCTCCGCGAGCGCTTCCATCCGGGCAACGAAGTGATGGTCGACGGCGAACCGGCCGGCGATACCACTATCACTATAGAGCCGGCGGCGCAGAGCGGTGGCGGCGATCACGGCTCGGGCGTGGCGTTTGACATGCAGGAGATATTCATACATCAGGCCATTCACACGATTGAGTACTGTTTGGGCTCCATATCCCATACGGCCTCATACCTGCGTCTATGGGCGCTGAGTTTAGCGCACGCCCAGCTCTCGGAGGTGTTGTGGTCGATGGTTATGCGGATCGGTCTGAACGGCACCGGCATCTCCGGCGGTATTGTTATGTATTTGATATTTGGCTTTTGGGCCGGACTTACGGTCAGCGTTCTGTTGGTTATGGAGGGTCTGAGCGCTTTCCTTCACGCTCTGCGTCTCCATTGGTTAGTATTTTTGTCGTTGGTTTACTTAATCGGCTATAATCTGTACCGTATATACTCTCATAAAAACACCGGTAATATTATGTGAAATCCAGTAAAAATGCGATTTTTCAAAACAGGGGTAATGTTATTTAGATAAGATTACCCCCATTACTAAAACACATATTGTTACCATACCGTATATACTCTCATAAAAACACCGGTAATATTATGTGAAATCCAGTAAAAATGCGATTTTTCAAAACAGGGGTAATGTTATTTAGATAAGATTACCCCCATTACTAAAACACATATTGTTACCGGTAACGCTATGTGAAATTCAGTTGAAAGGTATTTATTCATTCAAATAGCAAATGATTTTATAAAATTCAAACAATATATTTAAGAAATGTTCATAAGATATCTCTAAGCCCAGAGTTAAGAGCTGTCACCATTTTATCATTAATGTCTTTATTTGAAGACAAACTAACAATTTGAGACATTTTAGTGAATGCAATGTGAAGTGAATGCACCGTCAGGAAATGGATACAATTTGGCGTTATTTAATTGTTAATGAGTCATTAATAACGAGTAAATTTATATCTTATTCGACTCATAAGCAATAAACATGTTATCATATTCAAAAATCATTCTACTAGGATTTATATCCCCATTACGATGGACCTATTCTAATGGGGGGAAACAACCTAAAGTGTATTATAATGGCCCACAAAAATACTCTCATTTATGCCATCTAATGATTGAATTATACGTTTTTAGGGTCGAGTTTCAGAGCAAGTTCTACTCGGGAACGGGCTATTCGTTTCAGCCGTTCTCGTTTGAGGTGATTCTGGAACAGACGGCCCAAGAATCGGCCGCTGAGACCACATAAACCGCTTCGGGATCTGACTCTTTGTCTTCAATTTTAACGTTTTAACTCAATTTTAGTTCAATTATACAAAATAGTAACAAATAATGAAATCTCAAAATTTATGAGTATATATAACGCGTTTATTTGGC